CTGTATCTTGAACAGAGAACAGTTCTGTCTCCAGTGCACTGACCTCTGAGCTACAATATAAATCAACACGGAGTATCGTGATACCATACCTACTGTGCCAACAAATGGCTTTATATAGTCCTGAATAAACAAAATACCTGATAAACCCACATGCTCTCATATTAGATGGCCAAAGCAGCAAAGTAGCAAAATACAGACAACTTAATGACGCTGTAAGCAATGTTTGCTCTTCTACAACTTCCACTAGACAAATTATAAATGAAATAAAATATAAATAAAACATGAATAGAAATTAAATATAACTTTATAATAATAACTTATAACTAATACAGTGGGTACGGAAAGTATTCAGACCCCCTTAAATTTTTCACTCTTTGTTATATTGCAGCCATTTGCTAAAATCATTTAAGTTAATTTTTTTATATTGAATAAAATAATATAAATTTGAGATGATGCCCTAGCTTATTTCATCAGTCATCTGAGGGTGTTTATTTGTTTTCTAAAATATCAATGAAGTATCGATACTGAAATTCAAGTTGGTAATGTAATGTCCGATTTTTATTATCATTTCCACTGAATTAAACTACAAAAGCAGAAATTAATCTCACCAATTCCACCTCTTGTTTGGCCTGATGGAAGTTTTCATCCAATGCCAAACACTGAAGGAAGACCTGCAGAGAGTCATCTACATGACCCATCTCTTGGAGAATTTTTGCTTTCCGGAAATATCCCTGCAAGAGAGAGACAGATCAGAGTGAATTTAGCTTCCAGTAGCACAGATGCTGTTTTTGGGTTAATCTGACTTGAATGGGACTGAGAGTCTAGTCATGTTAATGGCCTCAAGGCTAATAACAGAGCTAGACACTCTGAGATAAATACACACTTGAGTGACCCACATCTCTGCCTTATCCCTACCTGTCTGTATCTCCTTATCTCATTTGTCAGCTTGGCAAACATGCTTTATACCTTAATCATGTGTTTAACACAACTACATCCCCTCAACGGGTTTTCTGATATCAACACAAGTCCAGAATAAATGTAGTAAAAACTGAGCTAATTTAATAAATAGATAGGTCAGAAAAGATGGTGCTGAAATTCCCATTTCAAATGAATAGCAATCATCAGTACTGAAAAAGAAAAACATTCAAACTCATTCATGGTCAAGAATTTACAAAAAAGCAGGACTAAATCATATGGATAGCCCTTTTCTGTGACATAATTAGCATTATTGTTGTGAAATCTGCTGATTAAATATGTCACCATAGTAACATTCTCTATTTGGGAAATATAGATATTGTAATTAAAAATACTGTAATGTTTTGCACTTATTGTCATTGTTTTAAAGCAAAAGTGTATGACTGATTGAGTGATTGCTTATAACCACAGCTATATTCATAACGAGCAACAAGTGAATAATAGAAATAGCAAATAAATAGATAAACTATATCAATGAAGAAAAAAATCATAAAAGGTTTTTTTTTCTTCAAATTTGTCTGATGAAATTTCTAAAACAAGTCACCTTTTTTTCTTTTATATTTATATTGTTACCATTTGATTGTCTAACTACATGATTGTTTATATTATTTCTTGTTTGTGAATAAGTAAATCAATAAAGTACAAATCATTAAAAAAACAATCTGGTCTCACTTCATTAAAAACCTTAAGCAAATAAAAAGTAAAGAGTCCTAGAGGAGTTCAACAAATATGTATACATGAATTTATAGGCGTTATAGAGGTTCATTATTGCAGTATAACTAGCTATTATTGTAACTGAGAAAAAAAAACATCTAAATATTATATAATGCCAAGCATTTATATTATTTGAACACACAAGCATTTATCCTTTGAGTTATGGCTATGACATTTGGAAACTTAAGTTTGCCGCCTGTTTTTAAAGCAACAATCCAGCTACTAAAATCTGTGCAAAAGCATGCTGATGTACTGTAAATTAGTCATCTGTGGCAGTACGTGTTAGGAAAATTCATCGACGTACCTCTGGGGATGGGGTAGCAATCAGGCAGGACTCCCAGTTTTCTAAAGCCTGACGGTACTGCTTCAGTCCTCTGTGAGCCTCGGCATGGCACACCCGCACCCACACATTACTAGAGTCTGAGAGAAAGAGAGAATCAGTGAGAGACCATGACAAAACGCAAAAGCACAGCTCTAACTACCACTTATTTAAGTCTGTCTGACGAGCATTATGATATTATTACAATACTTCAGATGGCATAGATTAAATGTGTAAGATCAGTAGATCAAGGAGAGACATTTGTGCACTGAAATGCCACAGGAATAAAGGGAGAGAGGATGTGGCACTGCAGCAGCACTGCCTTTTTTCACAAGGGCAAATGAGGACACACCAGGAGAGATGAGACTGCTGCACTCTGATTACACTGACTCTCTGTGATACGTTCAGGGACTTTATGGATCTGAACCAACACTTTCATCAAGATACGCATCAAGAATACAATATGTCAGAGGGTTATCAAAGAGGAGGTGTCCCAATTTTTGTGTAGAACGACCGGAAGGTTCTGACATTATGTAGCCGTTATGTAACTTCATCAACATCATCAAATATTTCCTGTCAACCACTTAACAAAGATGATATGGTGATAGATTTTCATGAATCAACAGTACAAATAAAACACCGTGGGGCAAGAAGCCCCCTTGGCTAAACTTTCATAGAACGTATAAGTGACATTTTAAAATATAATCTTTTTTTTAAATATAAAATCTACTAGTCTATTAAAATTGTACTTTGACAATTTAGTTAAATAACTGAATAACCGATAACAGACAAAGCAGAATCCCAGTAAAAGAGATTCATCAGAAAGGTACATTTGTTCTATAACTTATATACAGGCATAATAATATTTACATATTTAAATTAATTAAACATATGTTATAATAGCAACACTATGAAATCAAACTGAATTATTTCACTCAATGTGCCTATACGTTCTAATGAAAATTAAAAATGTCTGAAATGTACATGTAATTTTCGATATTATTGAATAATAGCCCCATGAATTACAATAAGTATTAGATTTAACAATAATAATACTAGTAACAACATGCAATGGGTAAAAATGGGGCTTTCTGTGCCTGGGGTCTAATTCTGGATCTATCTATATCTATCTATCTATCTATCTATATCTATATCTATATCTATCTATATCTATATATATGACATTGCAGCCTTTTCAAATTCCAGCTATAGCTTAACAAGTGCAACAAATGCATTTTTAGTATTTAGGCAACAGGACAAAACATTAGACACCCCTTAGGCATCTCTCTATTGAATAAACACCAAACACCTGAACATTGTGGCTATTACATACCGCTCTACTTGTTATTATCAAACTCAGTTTGCCTCAGATTACAAAACACTCTGTGTCACGACCTGCCTTACACAACGCGTGCCGAGTGCGCATGCGCCGTGCGAGCGCGTTTTGTAATACAGGCACTCGCCAGTTACATGATCGCTGAGGGCGGGGCTTGTACATAAGTTTCGACTGTCAATCCAAATGTTGGTCAGGAACTCTGTCCACCCTTGTACCCTTTTAATAAACAATATAAGACGTGTTGTGACCTAGTTACCTCGCTCATGGCATTATTGTCAGGTTAGTAAATATCTTTAGACACAGACAAGAATGTGAACTTACCAGATTCTAATAACTGACTCGTTAGTGCAATAGCATCGTCGTACTGTTTACTCTTCAACAGGCTTTCAGCTTCCCCTATACATTTAGATCTCTTCACGTCTTCAGGGAACCACTTCTCTAAAAGTCCACATAGGATCACATTCAGTCGGGGATCCCCAGGCCTCCTCCTTATGTCTTCACTGCACAGTTTGCATTTGGAAAAAGTGCTATGTTGTATACATCTCCTACAATACGTATGTCCACATGTCACCGTCACGGGCTCGGCTAAGAAAGTATGGCAGCCAGGGCAGTCAAATTCACAATCCTGTGTCCAGTTTGGCTCACTTTTTGCTGAGGACTCTTCTGATTTCTTCTTGAAGTTGCGCAGAACGCATCCGACTAAACTGCTCAGCTGGTCCGGCCGGACTGGTCCACATCGGAGAGCCATGGAAAACATATCGACAGCCTCTTTGAGACGATTTTCCGACGCTAAAGCATCAGCTTTCGATAAAACTAGTTGACGGTGATCAACATGGTCTTCCTCGTCCCAGTCGCCTTCTGTTTCTGGTGCTATAAAAAACCTTCCCCTTTCCCCCAAAGCATATTCTTGGTCTAGTCTTCGCAACGACATGCTTGCGAGTGACATTCACAGATACGCCGCCAAAATAATAAATAAAAAAATGTCAAAGCATTCTTACAGTTCTCGGTACATGAGCACGTATTGACTCGCGGTCTTCTTCTTCTTCTTCTTCTTCTTCTTCTTCTGTTTCTGTTTATTGGCGGTTGGCAGACTAGCTTAGTGCATTTTGCCTGGCGGTCCTGAACACACCGTCGTTTTGCTTCTTCTTCTTCTTCTTCTTCTTCTTCTTCTGTTTATTGGCGGTTGGCAGACTAGCTTAGTGCATTTTGACTCGCGGTCCTGAACATACAGTCGTTTTGTCCGTGAGTTACGTAAAAATAGCATCACGTGTGCATCAGCGAGCGCGTCTATTGGCCGCCGAGGCGCATTACAAAACACAAAACTCTTGAGTTTTGTAACTTGCACTCGGCACTATGGCGAGCAAATGCTGCTGTGAAAGAATGCATGGATGCAAAGATGTCAGCGTGTCATCAGTCATCAGCGTGTTAATACTTTTGTGCTGCGCATTTTAATGCAGAAAGGGAAAATGACACGATCTTCCCTAGTCATAACATCAGGAATTGTGTAACGCTTCTTTTGTTTCACTGATGTGTAATTGCCAAGAAAAAGGAGATTAATCATTTCCAGTGTCAATGGTGTATTTGTGTTGCCTGTCTGCTTAACATATAGGTTGAACATCTGGATCTATGTTACTCAAGGGGGTTAAGGCTGTAGGAATGTCGGTAGTCATGTAATATATAGGTCAACGCACATACGTAATTCCATATTGCACAAGAGATCAGTCTGATAGCATTTTCCCCTTACAAAGCATCAGTAGCCCATAGATCAGAGCGCCATTTATCGTGGGGAAATAATTTTGTCCTCACCACTTTAAAAAGTAAAGAACATGTTCTAATGCTCGCTATAAAAAGTATGTGATATAAGTTTATGTATCTGCAATTTGTGTTCATTGTAATAAAGCGTTTTATTATTGCGGGTTTTTAATTCTAGCTTTTTGCTGTTTAAATTACTTTTAACAATTTGATTAAGTTCATTTTTAATAGACTATTAAAGTCCGTTCTCCACACGTTAAGACAGGATACTTTATTAAGATTTATATCATATAGGCTATAATTATTAACATGTATTTAATATGAGATAATTGGGGCATCACTGCAAAAAAAAAAAAAAAGGAATAGATCACAATAGAAATGTCAATAAATACAAAAAAACAGGGGTGGGGGTATTGTGGAAATTGAAAAGGTTCATACATATGCATGCATACATACGAATGCAATAATGAAGGATGAGACAATAAGACTGATGATACACAGGGCAACTTTTTGAGCAATTTTGCTTGGACACTTTTCCATTGAGAATGGGTAACATATTTCTATCTGGATATTTTAGATCGGTCGTGGGCGCTGTGTCTCACCTGGTTGCCCATTGACGGCAACATTTCCCAAAGTTGCCCAGCAACATTGCTCAAAAAGTTGCCCAGTGTATCATCAGCCTAAGAGACAATAAAAGGATGAGAGTGGAATGAGTGAATGAAGCTCACAAAGGTTTCCTAGCAGAGTTTAACCAAAGGTATAGTTCATTGCATGTCCACACACAATTATGAACATGGTTCACACCTCTTTGTCTTCTTTTTAACTGCATATCTATTGTTTTAGAATTCAAAACCAAACAAATTTATTTTTGTGAAATGTTTTACTTAAAAGGTGAGCTATTGTCATCTTTAAAATAGCTATCCATTTGGTTTGATATTCTGTTATATAATACAACGACATTCATACATTTCAAAGAGTGGCTTGTTATCCCAAACTGTCTGGAGTCAGCTTTTTAATTTTGGGGGTGATTACATACTCTGTAGGGCGGAAATGACGTCATTGCCTCGCGACAAGCGTGCACCTTAGAGGACGCCGAGCAAGGCATGGAACACCTTGGTGCTTTACTACTGCTGTTGACGTGTGTGTCACGTTTACATTCAACAGAAGGTAAGGGATGGTTTGTAAATCTGTGTGGGAAAGAATAATAAATGCATGTGTCTGAACGCATCGGTAAAGTTTACACTTTCCTATTGGACCTCACGCTGCACGCTGCGCTGTCACGCCATCTGATTGGATCGAATGACACATGCAGCTGTCAAAGTCTTGATGTTCCGAGTTTCACTGTACAGTATGAATATTATATACTTACTTCCGAAATTACTGTCAAACACATGCACTTTCAACATGGATGAAAAGAACTAAAATGTATTGTCACTAAAATCCATTTTGCACGTTCTTTGTATTGTGTCAAAGGTGCTTCCACGTGCACGCGTGAGATAATAGACCGGTGACGCTAGGTAGTTTGTGAACCCTTAATAATGTTGTTGCGTATTCCATCATAAAGGTAATATTAGTTTAGCTGGATTATCTTTGCTTATTCATTGGATTTGGATGAAGATCTGATTCTGATCTCAGTGTAGGTCAAATAAATGCAAAACATTCTTAAGTGTTCACAAACATAATATATAAGGAAACCCATATAAAATGCCTAATTGTATAACTTAACATGTTATGTAATTATATAAAATGGTTTCACTTTGGATTGTTATTCACTATATAAGGCTATATAAATAGGGTAATTCCGTGTCATCTCAACTAGAGGACCCTGGTTAAAATTTTTTTCATTTTGTTAATATTAAGATTTCAAAAGGAAAGTTTAATAAGAATGAGAATCTAGAAGTCTTGAATACTTTTAGAGATGCAGGCATGCAAACTTTAGAAAAAGAATATTTATAGCACTCAGACAGGTATGTTCTATGCAATTGTGTTATAGAAAATCACAAGATACATTTCTAGTTTCAACATTGTATGTTCATCAGATATTCCTCTTTAAAAGAAAAAAAGTAGTGATGGTGAAAAGAAGCTTTATTTCGAAGCACGAGGCTTTCCCCTCAACTGTATCGTAAAAAGGTTAATTACTCGAAGCTTTTTAAAGGGTTCCTATTATGCTCTTTTACAAAGTCTTGATTTTGTTTTGGGGGTGTACTAGAACAGGCTCTCATACTAGGTTGTTTGAAAAACACATTATTTTTCACATATTTTACATTATTACAACACCTCTCTCCCCAGTCTGGCATGAATGGCTTGAATAGTTCCTGTATCAAATGAAGGCCTGCCTTCTGAAATACGAAATGTGCTGTGATTGGTTAGCTGGGCCAGTGTGTGTTTTGATTGGCAGCACTCAGCAGCTGGTCGGGAAATGTCACGCCCCTTACCATAGCGAGCTTCAGTGTAACTATTGAGTCAAAATCAAATCAATTTGAGCACGATTTAAACCCGGATGAATGTAATCACTCTTAGTTCGTCTGCCTTGAGTCCGACATAGTGATAACACTCGTTGCCTTCTCTAGTGCGGCTCAACCAGGTCTCATCCCATTCGTCGATATTTGTGATATCACAAATCCCGGAAAATATGCGTTGTAGTCCAAACAAGTCGTTCGTTGTAGTTTTTGAAAAGTGATTTCTGTTAAATAAAATATCTCCTTTTGAATTGGACTTTGAGCTTTGTAACTTTGCAGATCTTTTTTATGCTCAAACAGCAACATTACAGACTAACTAAAGTTGAAAAAGCATAATAGCACCACTTCAACACGTTGCACACTAATGACATCTTGTGGTCAAAGGTGGAAAATGTGTCTTTGCGTCCCAGCTGTCCCATATAATAAATCCATCTGTGCTACGAAAACCATATAAAGAAATAAAAAAATTAAATTGTCATTGTACTTACACAAAGCATGAATAAATGAATCAGTGAATACATTTATGAAAAAATAAACATGTATGCGTGTATGATCATATATGATCAAAATAAATGAAGAATATTGTTAAGTTGATTAATATTATTAATAATTTGAAGTGCTTGTGAAGTGGAGATTAATACAAACTGAACATGCACAAAATTATACATGTAAATATTTTAACAAAAAAGTGAAAAGGTGCGTTCGACTTGAAGCACGTCTACAGACTGCGATCAACGAGAGTAGCCGCTTGCAGTCGGGGGCGGAGTTGAAAACGGAGCCGTCAAGCCGGACATTTCTGCTCCAGTTAGTGACGCTCACGCGGTGTTTGCATACTCTATCACAGATGAAGTGAATGAAATGCTGCTCTCGAAACGCTATCGCGGTACTTTGATGCCACACGTGACAGTGACGTGGCGTCGGCGCCGGTTCAAGTCGGACTAAATTTCTAACCGGCATGCACTGCTTCAAGTCAGCCGCCGATCGGTCTGCGTAGTGCTGCATGAAGTCGAACGCACCTAATGACTTGAAACCTGCGCAAGGGGTTCGTTCGCGTTATTTGAATACAAAGCAGTCACGTGGTTATGGCAAAACAAATCAAGATCCTTCACTGAGATGTTTCGTTTTTTTTTATATATAAGCTTCGAAGCCACGGTGTCGAACGTCACATTACTAGAAAAAAGTATCAGCTGTCTGTAAAATGACCCACATTTGGTTTTTGACCTCTAAAAATGTGACCAGTTTACTCATGGAGCCTCATTAAGATCTCCATATCTCTGGGACTGAACCATGGAGGGCCTTAAAATGAAGATACCAAAAGGAAAGCTTGTTAAGAACCAGAATCTAAAAGGATATTATGTTTTTGTGTTATATTAACATGTCTTCTTGAGTTACAGGCATGAAAACTTGAGGCAAAAAACACAAGTGCTTTTTGCATATTTGAACTGTCACCGTTAGCATATAATGCAACATAGATTACTAATAGACCTACCAATCTCGGTGTACAAATAAAATAATGATGCTGCCATCTTTTCATTTTCTTGTCATTTTTACCCTCCTGTGGTTTGGCTCCAAATCTCAGGTGAAAATTGACATTTTGACCCCTCTCTACAAAATAGTGGATTACTCCGTAAATATACATCAGTGACATTTAATATGTTGGCTTTCATCACTATACATGTTTATCTTTCTACAGAAAAAATTATTAACCAAATCAAAAAATTGAGCCGGGGAAGCTTCTGAAATGTAGTTGATTTCATGCGGAATGACCCTATATATATTTGCCTATATCTGTAAATTTGCTATACTGCTTCTATTATATTTACAGTTATTCATTACTCATTTTGTATTCCTAGTTTAGGCATTACTGAAAAAAAAAAAAATGTGCAAAAAATGTAATTAATATAAATATAAATTTAGTCAATGTCTGTCCCTTAAAAATAAGTAAAAATGTTAAGATGGTAATAAATATGGCGACTTTTAATGGGTCAAAATTTCATTTTGTTTGCTGTCATTTTGGAATAGAAAATGACCCTCCCCAAACCCTCCTGTTGGAACCATGAAATTCTCAAGAATTTCACTGTAAGGCGCAGCATTAAAATTAGTTTTCACTGGAATTACTGGAATTGTCAAACCCATTGATTTTATAGGGGTGTCTACTTCTGCCATATTGACATTAAAACTCTGATGTGTGCATTTCTTGCTCCGTCAAGCAAGTCTCTTTACATCACTATATACTTGCAAGGTTGCCATGTGATGTCAAAAGTGCAAAATATGTCCCAGATTAGGCTATATTTACCTACTTATACAATTTGACCAAATGTAGTACAGCCAGATAGAATTAATAGAGAATTTGATCCTGTTTCTCTGATAAAGCCTCATGTAGTTTATTCCTGCTACTCAAATTGTGTCCTTTTCAAAATCTCTCAGAACTAAACAGCTGTTTTCACTATCATGTTTCGCAGGTTTTCCAGAGTGTAGCATAGAGAAGTTTATGTGTAATAACCGCAGATGTGTGCCTCTGAATCTTCGCTGTGACGGTGTGGAGGACTGTGGAGACAGCAGTGATGAGATCTCCTGTTTGAATTGCACTGGTGGCTCCTTCCACTGTGTGGCAGCAGCACGCTGCGTTTCTTCCCGCAGTGTCTGTGATGGCAAGCCTGACTGCTCTGATGGAGCAGATGAACAGTTAGACACATGCGCACAGACTTGCACTAGGTCACAGTTCAGGTGCACAAATGGACGCTGTGTGCCCAATTCAGGGAGGTGTGACAACATCAAAGACTGTGAAGATGGCAGCGATGAAGATAACTGTGGTATATATATATTTATAAATAAAGCATATTATTATTTTTATTATATATATATATATATATTAGTAAAAATTATTCACAGCTCACATAGATATATACTAGGCTTGTGCAAAGTGCTTTATAAACAAAGCTTATTAGTAATATTATTTTGTATTAATAAAATGTATTTATACTCTATTTATATTCTACTGTTTTTAAACAGTTTATATATAAAATTCTCTTTCTCTCTCTATAAGACGTTTGTGTAAAAAGTGCCTTAAAAATAAGGCTAATAATTTTTTTATGTGTTTGTTGTATTGTTTTTTTAAATGTAATTTATTGCTGTGATGGTAAAGCTGAAATTTTTTAGCAGCCATTACGCGGCTCTTCGGTGTCACATGATCCTTCAGAAATCATTCAAATATTGTTACCAGTGTTGAAAACAGTTTAATGTTTTTCTGCTTACTATTTTTGCTCAACGTGTAGTATATTTTTTAATTCTTTAAATAGACAGTTCATTAGTTCATTAGTTTGAAATAGATTTTTTTTGTAACAATGTAAAATCCAATTTAATTAATCCTTGCTGAATATGCAATAGTATTAATTTGGTAACACTTTACAATAAGGTTCATTAGTTAACAACATAAGTTAACATGAACTAAGAATGAACAATACTTCTACAGCATTTACTAATGTATTATTAAAATCACAAGTCGTGTTTGTTAACATTAGTTAATGCACTGTGAGCTATTAAAGAACATTTAAATATTGACTATTTGTCTTTATTTCTCTGTTTCTGTAGATGACAACGAATGCGAGATCAATAACGGTGGCTGCTCTCACCTGTGTATTGATCTGCCCCTTGGTTTCATGTGTGACTGCCCCAGTGGAATGAGGCTGGTCCAGGACACACACTGTCAGGGTGAGAAATGAGTCACACTGGACAACTGTATAAATGACGTTGACATTACGTGATCCAATGTAAACAATTTATAGTGTTACTGTAAAACAGATGGCAGTCAGTGATCATAAATTTTTTTTCCATGAGCAATAAGTGTCCAGAACAGGGTGGTTACTGAGCTAAAAGAAGTCGTATTCAACAGCTCATATGTGATCCTGGTTCCTAATTGAATTGAGATTAATACATCATCTGAAAGCTGGATAAATAAGCTTTCCATTGATGTATGGTTTGTTATGATAGGAGTGTCTGCCCCTGTGAGGCGATCTCCATGTGAAATAAAACTGATCATTTCGTTATGTGTGAAACATTTTAGTATGTGACAATTTACTAATTACACTTTTAAAGGTCATAAAAAAATAGCTTATTCTAGTAATCCAAATGAGTTGCTTCTCTCTTTGGTTATGCTATGATTTGCTGTAAATCTCCGTTGTCTTAAAAACATACAAAACATGTATTATCTTTAAAAGTAGTGTCATAATAGATTTAACTTTTCCACTCAAATATTCACTTTTCACCTCCAGATGTGGACCACTGTCTTGATTCAGATGTGTGTGATCATATTTGTGTCCGTACCAATGGATCTCTTGCGTGTGAATGTCAGGATGGGTATGTGCTGACTGCTGGGACTGGAGAATGCAAGGCTACAGGTGAGGTTTTAGATTTTACTTTTGGGGAAGTTGTGCCCTAATGGTTGGAGAGTCAGACTCGTAACCCAAAGGTTGCGGGTTCGAGTCTCGTACTGGCAGGGATTGTAGGTCTTTATACTGCATGTGTGTGTATTTATATATACATAATAAATATACAGAGTGCACACACATACTGTATATTATGTGAACAAAAACTTTTATTTTGGATGCGATTAATCACGATTAATCATTT